CATCAGCCTCGTGCATCAGCCTCGTTGGGGGGCTCCCTCTTTCTCTGTCTCTCTACGTCACTAGGCATGCGGTCACTTTCCAGAGACTGGTCTCATGATCATAGCCAAAGTTGATGGGATGCAACCTTGCCATCCTTTCTTCTAAGGCGCGTTCTGACTAGACTGCTTCCAAGACAGGTTTGTTGGCTCTTTTGACAGTCGGTGGCGCTTTCAGTGTTCATCGCCAGCATCGCCACTCAAATGCATCAGTTCTTCGCTCCCCCTTATTCGGTGTCCAACGTTCACGTGCATTTGAGACGACGGAAAATACCGTGGCTTGGGCCAGATGCGCCTTCATCCTCAAAGTAGCAGCCTTGCTTTAAAGAGGTTTTGGGCAACAGACTTTCTTAATGCAAAACGTCTTTTGATCGCTTGACTGCTGCCTCCTGGAGTATTTCCTGGGGGCACAAGCACGACAGCATCCTTGACAACCTCAATCGTGTATCTGTTTACCAGGATGTGACCTATTGGCCCAGTTGCGAGGATTTTGATTTTCCTTACATGGAGTTGTAATCCATCCTGAAGGTTGCAAACCTTGACCTTCATCAGCAAGTGCTTCAAATCCTCACTCGTTGTGGCCATCTCCTGCCCTTAAATGTGGGGTTTGGGGTTTTAAAACTGCAGTCTATAATGGTTACCTTTACAGAAGTTTGTTTACACAGCTGAGTTTCAGTCCACCATCATTAAATGTATGGCTGCTCTTAATCAGTATGAACTGATTTCTGTGTAAGAAAATAGAGATCATACAAGCCAACAGTTCGGAGAGAACCGGGACGAAGTCAGGGGCCCTGGAAGGGAGAGCAGCAAGGGAACTTCCCGGCGCAGCCTCCAGCCAGCTGTGGAGCAAGCCGACCGACTATCAGTGACCTGATCGTCTCACATACTTTGGACGTGTTGTCAGGAGAGACCAGTCCCTGGAGAAGGACACCAGGTGTGGCAGAGTGAGAGCAGGGAAGGTCCTCAAGGAGAGGGAGTGGCACAGTGGCCGCAAAATGGGCTTGAGCTAGGAACGCTTGTGCGGATGTGATGTCAGACCAGGCAGAGTCTCTTTCTGTTGTGTGGAAGGTGGCTGCTACTTGCAAGGTTGGCAGTTCAAACCCACCAGCCTCTTAGCAGGAGAAAGCTAAAGCCTGAAGACTGGAAGTCTCAGGAACCCCAGGGCAGTTCTACTCCGTCTTATCTGTGGTGCCTGGGGGATGCTGCCATGTTGGAACTGAAGCAATGACGGCAACTCAGGATGACGACAACAACAAGCAACACTCATCTGGTCTCTCTGTGTCTCTCACTCTCTGGCTCTATCACACACACACACACACAGGGATACTTACATAATCTGGTGTCAATTTGGGACTTGAGAGGATTAAGTGAAGGGGTGAAGTCTAGTCTGTCAATCAGGTCATAGCCAATGAGGCCTCTGTGTGGACATGGTCTTCTCCTGAGGATTCTGGGAACTCCTGTATTTTGCTCCTTGGAGGTGGGAGACACTTTATCTCTCTCTCTCTACTCACCCCCCTTGGAGACTCTCTACTGACAAGGCTGACTTCCTGCAAGACATCCCTGAAGAGAAGCCACATGGACCTACCCTGATGCAGCCCTGGGTGCTGGAGAAGTCACGCGGAGACCCCTGCCAGTGCTGAGATGCTTACAACGCCACTAGATCCAAAGACTTTCTACCCACTGGCCTGTGATCGTCCTGCATTCGACGTCATTGCATGTGTTTCATGAGTCTGAAGAGGACTTTATAGATTGGTATCAGACATATGGGCTAATATCAGGCTTATGGTCTTGGACTGAACTGGGTTGGGATGCTTTCTTAATGTACAATTACCCTTTATATAAAACTCTCTCTTATACACATTTGAGTTTCTATGGATTTGTTTCTCTAGTCTACCCAGACTAAAACACACACACACACACACACACACACACACACACTCCCTCTCTTCTTTTGAGCTCTCCCTCTTTCCCTCTTATCTCTGCTCCAGTATCTGCACCTCCCATTCACTGAATCCCACTTACGACCCACTTCACAGCGGGAGGGGCCTGGGACCAGCCACATTTGATGCCAGGGATATGAGTCAAATTTCTCTTTAACGAGTCCAAAGACTCCAGGAGAGCAGAGACCCGGCAGGGACTTTACGCAGCACCCGCCTGTGAGTGGGCTCTACTGCGGTGACGCCGACCTCGCTGTGATGCTGAAGGTTGTGCTGTGGTATTTCAAAGGCCAGCCTGGTGGAGAGAACTCAGCGGAGCTTCCAGACAAAGACAGACTAGCGGCCCTGGGGCCCTGCTGCTGGAGAACAGCCCTTGAAAAGCTGCACCTCATAACAGAATAGGCTCTGACGTGGTTCTGGGAGAAGAGCGCCTCCCATTGAAGGCACCTGGAATAGCCAGCAGCTGCAGCAGTGTCCCAGGGATCGGGAATATGATGCTGGACTTTCATCCTGCCATGCAGCAGACTCTCTGGTAACTAACAACAACAACAACATTGGCCTTTCTGGCTCCCAGGAAAGGGACACCAGCCATCAAGTGACATTGAGGCGACTTGGTGTAGCACAGACAGCAGGCATAGGATGGGCGTAGGGGTGCACTCTGAGGAAATGACTAGTCTTGACAATTCAGATGCCGGTGTGCATCTGGGGCCGGGGCCAGGGCCAGCGAAGGGCAGGGGCTGGGCAAAAGTGAGATGTTCCACCGTTTCTTGTCCCTTCCTGAAAGCATAGTGGGGAGTCCTCGGCAGAGGCAAAGGCTGCACCGAGGCGCCTGGGGGATGCTGCCATGCGCTGTTTTCAAAGAGGGTCAAGGCCCAGGCGGCTTTGGGGTCCTCTGAATCTCCCCCGTCCACAGACAGTTTGGTGCCTCTGCAAAAGATAACCAGGACATGTTGTTCTGTGACATTGTAAGGACTTTAAATGAGGATGGCTTCAGGGTCTACTTTTGGGGTGCTTTATAAAGTTGTGTTTGGTGGGTGCCATTGGAAGGCGTCAACCCACATGAAGCCAGGGGCCTAGAGGCCCAGAGCATGGAGAGGCAAGAACGCCAGTTTGGGAGCAGAAGCCCTGAGTTCTAGTCGTGGCTCTACCAACTCTGTCAAGAAATCCCTTCCCTTCCCAGAAACAAGAACTCCCTCTCCTTGTTTCTGATCCCACGTCTGCCTTCAGTGTCCTTCAGAGCATGATTGTGGTTTGTAAACACGGAGTTCTGCACATCACGGCCTTGGTGTCAGGCGGGAGCCCCACCTGGGCCTGGGAAAGGCAAGTCCAAAGGCTAGAGCATGCGGAGGCACATGACCCAGCCGGGCCCACACGGCCAGCCAACCACTGACTCCAACACTGACAGGTTGGCAGACAGGCCACCCACTCCCCCCCCCCAACTCCATTTCTTCATGCAGGGAGTGGGTGTACCAACCTTCAAGACCTTTCCTGTGGACACGCATGTTATCTCACTGTTAAAACAGACCCCTGAGCAGGAATGTATCTGTCTATCACAATCCCAGGTGGACAAAGTAACCAAGACCAGCCTGGTGAGTTCACCAGGGACACCACAAGTGACAGGCACCAGCCTCCTGTGTCATCTCCCAGCCTCCTGAGCTGGACCTGGACCACACACAGTGGCCCTGGCCCCAGGGAGCTGGACTCGGCTGGGTGCACTGTGTTAGTGCACGAGCATTTGCTTAGAGCAGCACATTTTATGTGCCTCCTTCTTCTCAAGAAGCCCCAGCTGTGAGCGGAAATGGGGTCAAGGGTGCAAGGCAGCCAGGTCCCAAAGAGCTTCCTGCCCCACCTTTGCACTCGGGCCTGGAACCCTGACAGCTGCTGGATTTCCAGCGCAGATGCCGGCGGACTTGGGAGCAAGCCCCTATGCCTCTAAATGCTGAGGCGAACGGCTGCTCAGAGAGAAAAGGCCAGACACGGGGGCCCAACCACATCCTCTTGGTCCTTCTGCAGGGCCGGGTGTGGGGCGTTCACATTCAGTTGGTGGGAGAATTCTTGTTCAGAGTCCTAGAGTTTACGTCCTACACAGATCGTCCTAGAGTTTACGTCCTACACAGATCGCGACCTCACTGGAGCAAAACAGCCCGCAGTGGAGCTCAACTGGTTGAGGCCAGGGGAACCCCCTCACCCCTGGGCACTTCTTGGGATGCTCCAAGCTCTGTAGGTCCAGGTCACTGCAGCCGAGGCATCTCTTCCCTTCCCAGAGCCTGTCCGGACCCAGCCTGCTGCTGATCCCTAGTAGACATCACTGCACCCAAGCTGCGCTCATGCAAGCGGGGCTCCCATTGTCCTCCCCGGGGACCCCGCCTCCCCACATCCAGGCGTTTCAGGCTACTCCTGATGGCGGTCAGCCTCTCGTGCCTGGCCTTCAGACCCCGGTCTCTTTGCTGTCGTCCCTATCTGCTGTGTGGCTTTCCCTCACACAGGAGCCGGTGAAACCTTTTCCTTACTCCAAGCTTCTCTTGAGAGACGCTGTTTCCTGGAAGCCAGGGCTCCCGGCACCAGCTCTCAGCGGCCTCCTCCACTGCGATGCCACTGTCCCTGCATTGGTGCCTGACCGAGTCCCAGCGTTCTCTTCTGACCCGGCATGTTCCGGTCTCTGTTGCCGACTCCTTCCTTTTCTCACGTCAGCATCTAATTAATTGGAATCCCGGCATGTAGTGGAACCTCCATTAGTAGATCCTAACTGCATGGACAACGGCAGTCTGGAAAGATCCTTGAGGCTTCTGGAGCGCCTCCCACATGCCGAGGAGAACGGAGGCTCTCTCGAGATCGGCCAACCAGGGAGAACACGCCGGCACTAAGGCTGGGGCTCACAGGTTTGACTTTCCCTCAAGGACCGTCTCCTTTGAAGCAGGTTTCCCTGGGACATGCTTTTTGTTTGTTTTCTTCTTCCCCCCCTCCAGCCCAGGACAGCGGCATTGGAGGGAGGGAGGCACTCACCCGCGGCTGCGGTGTGTCTTGCAGGGATTTGAAACTGGACAACATCCTTCTCGACGCAGAGGGCCACTGCAAGCTAGCTGACTTCGGCATGTGCAAGGAGGGGATTCTGAACGGAGTGACCACCACCACGTTCTGTGGGACCCCTGACTACATCGCCCCTGAGGTAAGGCCTGGGGCAGAGGGCCCCCGCCGGCTGGTGCCAGGGTGGATGGGTCCTTCTCCCTGCTCTGGGGGTGCCTCATGGTGTTGCAGAAGGCTTGGGCACACCTGGATGGAGTCAGGGTTGGATGAAGGAGAAGAGGAAGAGAGCAGGTGTTTTCTCCCTAAGGAGGTGGTGGTGAGGAAGGGCCCCCAGGTGTGGCCTTCAACTTGTCGGCCCTGGGAACCCATTCTGACTTCCTCAGTGGAAGAGGACAGATGATCCTAGGAACATGGCTGGCAGCAGTGGCTAGGGGTCGGGGTGGGGGGGTGACTGGGAGGCAGTGGCTATGGGGAGAAAGGCCATGGGTGAGCCTTTCAGGGATGAACAACGTGGATTTCTTTGCATGACTAGTTGGGTTACTGGGTCCGTTGCTAGTGCATCCTTCATGTCCACTCGCTAGAATCACCACTACATTGGAAGTGGGAAACCACCCCTAGTCTTTGGGCAAAGGACACCTGATAAAGGGTGTGGCTGTTTTTGTGAAGGGCCATGGGGCTGATGAAATGAAATGGCACGTCCAACGCACGGAGCACGGGGCCCAGCCCACTGTGAGCTCAAGTGGCTGTGGCCCCGTCATCCTCACCGTGGTTGTTAGACTGTGCAGTAGGGGGAGCACAGTCCTGAGAGCTGAGAGGAGGCCACAGTTGGCCCCCAAATGTCTCCCCAGGATCTTGGTCCAGTCATAGAACATTGTTTGCAACTCGGGCTCCTCATCTTTCAAATAAGACATTTCTGCCCTACCTTCCCCGTCGAGCTGTGATGAAACTCTAATGAGATTATCGCAGAGACAGGCTTCAGAAAGCGCTTCTCTGTTCAAAGAGGAGGGGTGGTGAGGCTCCGGCTAACCCCGAAACCAGAGACACTTCTGAGCATTAGCTCTGCCCCAGGGCTTCTCCCTCCGTGTGTCCTCTGGCCAGCACCCGCCCCTCCCCCCACAATCCCCCTCTTCCTCTGTGCCCAGTCCCTGTTCCCGGGTAGTGCCTGGTGTCATCAGGCCCCTTCTGTCTCACCCTCGCTCTGACCTTCTCAAAGTGTTTGTTGGCTGCTGCCCCAAGTGCCCTCCCATGGCATGTGAAGCCTTGCCCTTCGCACCAACTCCATTGCTGGCAAGGTGATTAGGAAGCGGATAATTAGAGCCAAGCCTAAAAAGAATTTGATGAAAGATGCCACCCAAAACCAGAAAGCTCGGGAGGGGGCCTGGGGAAAGATGGGCAGGGCTGTTCTGCGGTTTCCACAGCGCCATCCTGTCTGTGCACACGCAGGCCACCTGGAGGCCATCTTCCCACCAGTGCAGGGAGCCCCAGAACCCAGCTGTCCCACTTGGCCAAGGTGGAGGGTGGCCACCGGAGTGCCCAATGCAGCATGCCCAGTAAGACCTAACACATTCTTACCAGCCTGTCTTCCGAGTGTTTGTAATTGGGCATGGCCCAGATAGGCTCTCAGAAGACTATCGGAGCCCCAACACTCTGGTGGTTTATAGCTATTTGAAAAGTCAATTGAACATGAAAAGATAACTGAACATACAGTAGTGTGTGCATTAGACAGGGCTCTCTAGACATATATATATGTCTGTACACCAAGAAGGAATATAACAACTACAACACTACAGAGGGCTCAGTTCAACTCACTTTTGTGGAACAGTTCATATACTGAAATTCCTTCAACTCACATACGTCAAAGGTCCAAGGTCAAGGAAGCAGACAGCAGAGTCTTCCCTCAAGCAAGGCAGCCACACCAGCCTCAAGCTCAAGCCATGTAGGAGCTAGCAGCGTGGATAAGCAGGTCTCAAGAGAGCCTCAAGCTCTCATGACCCGATCCACAGGTTGGCTCAGCTCACAGGTAGTGCAGCACACGGTTGAGGTAAAGAACTAGCTCAAGCAGCAGCATGGGGGTCCAGTCACCAGGGAGGAAGAGAGACTGGATGCCGTCTGCTGAAAGTACTTATCTCGGTTGTCCTCCAGTCAAGTTGTGAGCTGATTAAACTCTGCCCACGTGTTCTTATGGCGGTCTGGCTGGCACAATAAGCCTAACAATCACAGTGTGGAAAGGGCCCAGAAGCCTTAGAACAGTGGTTCTCAACTTTCCTAATGCCACGACCCTTTAATAAACCTCCTCATGTTGTGGTGACTCCCCAACCATAAAATAATTTTTGTTGCTACTTCATGACTGTAATTTTGCTACTGTTATCAATCGTAATGTAGACATCTGAGATGCAGGATATATTTCCATTGTTACAAATTGAACATCATTAAAGCATAGTGACTAATCACAAAAACAATATGTAATTATATATTGTGAAATATTTATTTCTAATGACAGATCAATTAAATTTTGTCTGGAAGCATGGTGTAGCATGGGTAACAATCCTCATGTCGAGTACTCGGAGGTGGGCATACCTGCATGTGGGCAGACCCACCTGGAGATGGATAGAGGAGCGGTGTCTTAGTTCCTAAGACCATCAGAAACATGTGTTTTCTGATGGTCTTAGGCGACCCCTGTGAAAGAGTTGTTCGACCCCCAAAGGGGTCATGACCCACAGGTTGAGAACCACTGCCTTAGAGTCAGGCAAGGGTCAGGAGAAAAAGTAACATGGCTGGTGAAATCCAGGAAAGCTTTCTAAGGAATTGGCTCAAAACCAGGAAACCTTGAAGGATGGAAAATGGTGGTAACTGTATTCATCCCAGGACCCCTGGTAGTGTAGTGGGTAACACACGAAGCTGCTAACCTTAAGGTCAGCAGTTTGAAACCACCAGCCACTCCATGGAAAAAAGATGAGGCTTTCTGTGTTAGTCCAGGTTGACTAGAGAAACAAATTCTTGGGATACTCATATGTATGTAAGAAAGAGGTTTATGTACAAGAGCAATTAAATATTGAGAAAACATCCCAGTCCAGTCCAGATCAAGTCCGTAAGTCCGATATTAGCCCATATGTCTGATACCAATCTATAAAGTCCTCTTCAGACCCACGAAACACATGCAATGACGCCGAATGCAGGACGATCACAGGCCAGTGGGTGACAAGTCTTGTGGATCCAGTGGTGGTGTAAGCATCTCAGCACTGGCAGCGGTCTCCATGTAGCTTCTCTGGCTCCAGAGGTCTGGCTCCATCAGCCTCTCTCCATGAGTCTTCTCCACCAGATGTCTCGCAGGGAGTGAACAGAGAGAGAGGGTCTCCTGCCTCCAAGGAGGAATACCGGAGTTCCCAGAATCCTCAGGAGAAGGCCATGCCCACACAGAGGCCTCATTGGCTATGACTTGATTGACAGGATAAACTCCACCCCTTCACTCTGAAATCTGATTGACTCCAGATTATGTAACTACCATACTTTCTAAGCCTATAAAGAGTTAAAGCTGCCGACAAGGGCAGTTCCACTCGGTCCTATAGGGTCACTTTGAGTTGGAATTGACTATTGGCATTAGGTTTTCTTTGTTAGTTTGATACTCAGCCAGCAGGTTGGAGTACAAGATCATTTGAGATTGGGGAAGGAGTTGGCCTTGACTTTAGAAGAGAGAAAACTTACTTTTATCCTGGGATCGTGGAACCTATAGTTCAGACACCTGTTCACACCCCCATCAGGTTGTTATTGGGAACTGTGGAATAGGCTCCGACTCAGCAGGCCGGGCACAACCGAAGGACACACTGCACAGCCTGGGCCACCCTCCCAACTGTTGCTATGTTGAGGCCATCGCGGCGGCCAGGGTGCCGATCCGTCTCGTTGTGCTGACCCTCCGTTTGATCAAGTATGATGTTCTTCTCCAGTGAGACGAAGGATCACCGCCTTCACTTCTCAGCTTTGGGATACCTCTTCCAAGACAGATTTGCACCTCTTCTGGCAGCCGCGGCTTGTTTAATGTTCTCTGCCGGCACCGGAATTCCCAGGCATCCGTTCTTCTACAGGCTGCCTTATTCGGTGTCTGTCTGGCTTCCACGTGATATGAGGCTACGCAAAGTACCATGATGTCGGTCAAAAGCACCTTCGTCCTCAATGGGACACCTTTGCTTTTGAAGACTTTAAAGAATGCTCTTGCTGGGCTTTCTCACATGCCCTTTTATTCCAAATTTGAAGAGTCCCCAGGTGTACATTGTCTTCATGGTCTTCAAGGTGCTTATCCCTAAGTCTCCTCTAATGAGCCAAGAAACTGAGAATCTCTAGAAGGGTGTTTGAGGAATTCACAGAAAGACCCGATGCCTGACCAAGATCAGCCTCCCCTTCCAGTCATCTTGAAACTGGAGAACTGAATAGAAACCTTGGCCTTGGACGGAGGTGCGCTCGTGGAATTGACACAGTCAGACATAGCCCTAAATTCAAGTTGGGAGCTTCATCCGATGCTTTCTATAGAGAAACAGTGCTTTCTCCCCACTGGAGGCCAGGCCCAGTGGTTGACTTCCTGTGGTTGGCCTCCCAACGAGATGCTCCCACTGTCGATGTTTACTGAATTCACTGCTTTAGAACCTGACCTTCTAAAGCCCAGGGCTCTGCTCTGTGCCGGAAGCAAGTTGGGAAGACGGGGGCAGTGCAACTCCTTCCGTGGGCGTTGTTGGTGGCGGGGTCTGTGGTGGTCTTTGGGTGAGGCCTCACCCACGGTGTCGACCTTTCCCCCTCTAACAGTGCGGTTTCCCCAAACAGATCCTGCAGGAGTTGGAGTACGGCCCGTCCGTGGACTGGTGGGCCCTGGGGGTGCTGATGTATGAGATGATGGCTGGGCAGCCTCCGTTCGAGGCCGACAACGAGGATGATCTCTTTGAGTCCATCCTTCACGATGATGTGCTGTACCCGGTCTGGCTCAGCAAGGAGGCTGTCAGCATCCTGAAGGCGGTGAGTCTTCTGAGCCGACCTCCCCACTGGCTCTTTCTCTTTCTTGACACTCTGTTCCTGCTCTCCCTGCCCCCTCCCTCTCTCTTTCTTCACTGGTCCTTTCTCCCTTCTCTCTCCCCTCATTCACCCGGCTTTGTTCTTCTCACAAGAGAATGTGAGGAGTCAAGGGGAGTCCCCCTGGGAGTTCAGGGATAGTTCAGAGGACTGCTGCCAAGAGACAGGACCTGAGACCAACTGCTCTGCTTGTGGGAAAGAGACCGCATATTTGTGTTTCTTGGGATGGGGCACCGGTCTGGGGCTGTGTCCCCCAGTGTCTCAGAGGGAAGAGAACCCACCAGTTGACACCGCCATCACCCTGCCACGGGTGCTCTGAGGCTGGGCCTCCTTTCATGCCTGCCACCCAGTGGCCCGTCCTCTCACTTGTGATGGGAGGAGAGAGGAAGGGACGAGGGGAAGACCCTGTGTCCACAAATCCATCCCTGTGGCTGGACAGCTGATCCGAAAAGGGCAAGCTATTAGCAGTCCTGCTGGGCTCTGGCATTCAATAGAGATACTAATCAAGTCCTTGGGTCCAGCCTCTGCTAACGATCTCTCACCTGTGAAAAGGCTGGATCTTTCAAAACAGGTTGTGTATATCGTGTGCTGCTACCAAGTGCATCAAGTCAATGGTCTTAACTCACCCCTTTTGAATGATGGGGAAGGTGAGGGACAGGGAGGAAATAAATTTGTGACCAACCTATAGGTAGGTTGAGGCAGGACCAGGTGACAATCAGGAACCCTGACTTCCGGTCAGGGTTCTTTCACCCACCAGAATTCTCCAGACCTCAGTAGTTTGTATGCCCCATTCACAAAATATGTCATAATGCAGTATCCTCTGTACCATTAGCTACTTTTGTATCAAATCCCAATATTTACCTAATAGTATGTGGAAACTTTACAAGGAAACTTTTTATCTGTAGCAGAGGCAGAACCTCTGTATCGTTTCCTATAAGTAATTAACAGAAATCATAATATAAAGATGGCTTAATTACCTAAACCCATTTTGTCTATGTCTGGTGACATGCATAACATATTTTGGAAAATGTCGCTTGGGAACATCTGAATCTCTTCTGTATTTCCTTCACTCTTTCCATCACCTCATTCCCTCTTTTGCTTCCTTACCTACTTCTCCTTCTTTCCCTCTCTCTTCCCTTCTTTCCCCTTCAATAATTCCCAAAACAACTATCTTTTTATTAAGTGTTGTTGACGGACATGCGTCGTGCTAGAAAGTAAGTAAGTATCAGTAAATACAGCCATGGCCCCAGCCCCATGGAGCCACAATGCAGTGGGAGAAGTCCATTAGGTAACAAGTACATCCATCCACAGTGTAGTAAAGACATAGATCGTGTTTGTTCATTTGTTCAACAGATATCCACGGAGCAGCTAGTAGGTGCCAGACGCTAAGCAGGTGCCAGTGATGTGGTGCACAAGTCTTTCCTTTCATGCTGCTAACCCCCTAGCGAGTGAGACAAAGAATGTGACAATAAACACGTGGTCATGAGAGCTCTGTGCTGACCCTCTGCTTTTCCAACCATGATGCCTCCTTCTAGAGACGTGTCTTCTCTGATGACATGTCTAAAGTAAACAAGCCCAAGGCTCCCTGTCTTCGCTTCCTAGTAGCCTGGTCTTTCTTCCAAGACTGGTTGGTTGGTTGGTTCCCTGGGCAGCCCACGATACGATATATACACAAGACAACGTCTATTCAGTGTTCTTTGCCAACTGAACAGTTCAAAGGAATCCTTTCTTTTCCCAGCTCCCTTTTTCATCCTCCAACTTTCTCTTGTATCTGAAGTTATTGAGAAGACCACCGCTTCAGTCCGGTGTAATTTAGTCATCCAAGCGACATCTTTGCTTTTTAGAACTTTAAGGAGGTCTTTTTGCAGCAGATTTTCCCAGTGAAATATGTCCTTTGATCTCTGGATTGCTGCTTCCACAAACATTCACTGTTGACCGAAGCAGAATGAAGTCATTGACGTTCATTTTCTTCTGTTCATCACGATGCTGATTTTCGTTCCAAGTAAGGGTTCCTGCGCAGTCAGATGTCAGCCACACTGAAGGCTGTGTCGCTGATGTGCACCAGTAAGTGCGTTGCCTGTCTTCATTTTCGTCAGACCAGGCTGTGGCCTGTGCGCGTCTCAGGTTCTCAGTGCGTCGTCCTCCAGTACTGATGCCACATCCCATGCATTTCCTCTGTTTTCTTATTGCTGTCTTCCTTGGCACATCGATATAATAAGGTGGAAGAGTACAACTCGGCCACACACCTTTCCTCATACACAGGATCCCTCTTGTTTGGTTTGCCTCTTCATCTTTCCACACGAACAAATTACGTTCCCAGGACTTCCTGTTTTCCCCAATGTTGTTCATAAGTGGTTGTGATCCACGCAGTCACATGCCTCACACAGTCAATAAAACCCAAATGAGCTTCTTGCTTGTGGTCAAGATCGATATGAAAATGGCAATGAAGCCCCTCATTCCACATCCTCCCCCTGTGGAGGAAGAGGAGAGGAGCGTGGCTGTGTCTTGGGAGGCTGCTCCAGCAAAGGACATTGAAGCAAAAAGCCGACTGAAGACAGGTGTCAAATCCAAGGGATTTCAAGAGAAGTTAGGTCTGATTATACCTGACAGCTGGATAGTCCAGAGGATCAGACAGAACTTGTGTTCATGTGTTTGATTTCTACTTACACTTTGGAGCGATCGCTGATTTGCAGCAGCAATGGGAGCTTTTACCTCCTTTAATTTCCTGTGCCCCATCTCTCGTCTGGTCTTTCCCAAGTCTTGTCTTCTAACTGTCCAGTTGAACAGCCAAGGAAAAAGCCATGGAGGAAAATCCGTGCCTAGCCAAACCACTCCCTTGTTCGGGGCCCTAAACCCCTCCCCACACGTCCCACTGCCAGCATTCTAGTTGATAGTCGGGAGACCTAGAGCGGTGCTTCATTTTGCCCACCATCTCAAGAGGCTTGTGGCCACTTCTGAGGCATTCTTGGTTGTCACAACTCAGGGGAGGAGGAACACTGCTATTGGCACCTAGTGAGCAGAGGCCAGGGGTGCTTCTCTGCAGCATCCACAAGTGTCCCAAAGGCCATCAGCAGCGAGGCTGAGAAATGCTGCCCTACAGAGAGTCAGAAGGCTCGAGGCCCTGCCCGGGTTAACTGGCTGGAGGGTGAAGAGTCTCTGACTGGGGACCAGCTTCCTGAGCAGCAAAGACCTGTCTGTTTATTGCCGGCTCGGAGACTCTCCCTCCCACCAGCGGGAGGGCAGGAAGGGCTGAGGAAGTGAGAAGGAGTCCTCCACTCCCTTGGCCTTGGAATGCTTCACTTCCTCACATTGTCATGCCGTTGATGCCGGGGCCAGGCTGGGCTTCCCATTCCTGGCCCCTGGGCTGGTCTGCGAGAAGGGGGTGCAAAGCATTAAAGGTAGCCAGCTGCATCACAGTTGTGCACAGGGCAAGCTGCACAGCAATGAGCCATGGTCCTGCTGCTTACTCCCCTCCCCGTGGTGCCCAGAGACCTGGCCAGCAGGACTCTAGTCAGCCAGGAAGACTTATTAAGTGCCTAAAAGGAGCCAGGCACAGGGAACATGGAGCAGAGTCCTCTGTGATAGAGCTCGCCGCTCGCCGAGGGAAACAAATGAGAATTTAAATGAATGAGAAACCTGAGGCTCCAGGTATCAGCAGATGAGAAGCCTGGGGGTGTTTCCTAGAGGAGAGGAATGTTTTAACAGGGGTCTTGGAGGATACTGGGAACAGGACGGTGATCGTCCATCCAGAGGCACTAAAGGATGCAAAAGGCCACCAGCAAGGTATGGTTTCGACTGATAAGTGCCCATGTGCCGTTTGGTGCCAAAGACACCAAACTCATTGCTGTTGAATCAGTTCTGACTCCTGGCAACCTATAGGACAGGGTAGAATTGCCCTTAGGAAGTTCTGATACTATACCTCTCTGTGGGGCGAGAAAGCCCCATCTTTCTCCCGCAGAGCTGCTGGTGGTTCCGAACTGCAGCCCTTGTGGATCCCAGCCCAACTTGTAACTACTAAGCCTTCAGGGCCCCCTTACACCATGCCAAGGGCCTGGATGTTATCTGAGGTGTCCAAGCAGAGCCCGGCTAGCAAGCAGTGTCTCGGTGCCAGTTCTGACTGGCGTTACCTTGTTCCCATCTGTGCCTCGTGCCCTTGCATTGATCTTATGTCCATGTGCTCCAGGGCCAAGGGCGCCAGGCAAGAGGCAAAATAATTTCCCCCTGGCTGATGAAGTCTGAAATTGCACCATTATAGATTTATTCCTCTGAGTTAGATTTTGCCCTGTCCAGTTCTTTTGGTAAAAGGCAGACACTCAGTCGTCTCCCAACAACATGAGTCACTTTGTCTCTGACACACACACACACACACACACACACACACACACACACACCCTTTATTTTGGGTATCTGTCAGAAATATTTCCACCTGCCAACACTTTATTAAAAAAGAATATATTGGTATATATCCTTTCCATGGAATGAATGTTTACCATCCCATACCGAAACCGAACTTGCTGCCAACTCATGGAGACCCTGTCAGGACTGTTTAATTTAATGATTCTCAGTTTGAATGGGAATTTAGGGTCATGACACCACTCAAAAGTATGCAAAACCCATCAATGTTATTTTTTTAATATATAAACATTGAGAAGCAATATTCTTCTTCTTCTTTCTCTTCCTCCTCCTCCCCCTCTTCCTCCTTCTTGCTTGCTTTTGATCTTTAAGTAGTTTGTGCCAGAGAATACAAGGACAGTCCAGGAGTAAAGTCGGGACAGAAGGGTCACTGGATCATTTGCTTCACATAAGCATCTAATCTAATTCTTTTTCCCTTGCCACACTCAAAGAAAAAGTCTCCTGACTGGTGGATCCGTGTAAAGAATTCCTCCAACCGTAGTCTCCTTCTCCTTGAGAAACTGAAGGTTTTCGGGGAATTGGTAAGAACTTGAACTCCTGGTTCCACCTCTACACCTTGAGCAAGCCAATGAGCCCCTCGGGGCCTCAAGTACCTCCCTTGTAAAATCTGGCTAATACTAGTCCCTACATCTTGGGCTTGTGTGAGGATACGACAGTGCTTCGAAGGGTGACTTGCCCGGCCGGTCAGAAACAAGCCTCTGTGAGCAGAGAGAGCAGACTCGGGGTGACACTGAAGCAGCCGCCCTGGCTGGCTTGTCTTTCCCTCCCAGCCTGTGGCTGCCGGGCTCGGCCTTCATCCTGCCCTCTCCCTGTGCCCACAGTTCATGACCAAGAACCCCCACAAGCGCCTTGGCTGTGTGGTGGCACAGAACGGCGAGGACGCTATCAAGCAGCATCCGTTCTTCAAGGAGGTCGACTGGGTGCTTCTAGAGCAGAAGAAGATCAAGCCGCCCTTCAAGCCAAGAATTGTAAGTTGAGCGGGGGGGCCAGGGGCCAGCGCACACCCTGTGTGTCCAGACTCCGGAGGTGGGGGGTGAGGGGCACACTTCAAAGCCAAAGTGACAAGGTCAGGAGGTGGCCAAGAGTCTCCTTCCCCAAGAGCTTCTCTTAGACCCAAGTTGCCACTCTCAGCATGGCATTCCTGTATGGAGCCGCAACCACGCACGCTCGTGTATGTAGGACAAAGAGGATCAGGTGATCCCAGTGGGCACTTCTTCATCGATGATATTGATCACAGCGCAAATAGATGCGAGCGGTGTGCGTTTGCTTTAGAAATGAAAGAGCATAACTTTAAGTGAGTCAACTGAGTGGAAAATGCTAACTGAATGACAGTTTACAGCCATTATGGGAAAACAATCCCAAATAGGAAGTTGGAACACTTGAGAAAGACTAGCCAAGGGGAGACCTACTCTGGTGTCTTTAGGAAATCGGCCTTGCTTCCGTCCCGGCCCTGGGGCCTGCTGTGGTGGAGACAGCCGAGGGGGAGCTCAGAGGTTGGGCTGGAATAGAATCAGGAGTCTGGGTCTGAGCAGAGGGCAGATGCCATGTCCTGGCAGTGGCCGTCCACTGGAAGGGGGCAGGGGGAAGAGTGTGCATGTAGGGAAGCTATTTTGATCTTGTTGGTTTATCCCTAAGAGAGACTCATTTGACCTGAGAGTGAGGGTGGCCATCTGGCTGTGAGCTCACAGGCTCCCAGGGCAGTGGGACTGGAGTCCCAAGCAGGGAGGACCTCCGGTTACCTGGCGTTCTTGTCAGGTGCACCCTCCAGCACCCCTGCCAAGCATGGACAACAACCCCCCAAGCCCCGGAGCTGCGTGATTGATCAGAGAAGATCTCCACTGTGCCCCAGCAGCTTGTCTGTCGGTCAGCCTTGCCGATCCTGATGGGGCCCTTGGGTATGAACCTGTGTGGCAGGTGCTCAGAAGCAACATGGCAGGCCTGAGTATGAGTGGTGACCATTCCTGGTCACTTACCCTGTCACCAGCCCTTCTTTGTCCCCTGCTGTGGTTTCTGGTTTCCACTGGGGGGCACACAGCTTAGGAGAGGCTGGATCAGGTTCATCTCTTTCCTTTGATGACACCATGTTGGACCCTGCCCCGCACTGCACTCAGCCAGGATTGCGATGTGTGTGGTAGACCAGAGAGACCCTGCCCCGCAGTGCACTCAGCCAGGATTGCAATGTGTGTGGTAGACCAGAGAGACCCTGCCCCGTACTGCACTCAGCCAGGATTGTGATATGTGTGGTAGACCAGAGAGACCCTGCCCCGCAGTGCACTCAGCCAGGATTGCGATGTGTGTGGTAGACCAGAGAGACCCTGCCGCGCACTGCACTCAGCCAGGATTGTGATGTGTGTGGTAGACCAGAGAGCCCCTGCCCCGCAGTGCACTCAGCCAGGATTGCAATGTGTGTGGTAGACCAGAGAGTGGGCTTGAGTGCCTCAAGCTCCCTGGGCTTGGTCACAGCCAGCCTGCTCGGTGGCTGGAGTCTGGGCACCTTTGCAAGAGGCCTTAAGGACAAAACTCCCCGTGTGCCTGACCAAAGGGTAGGCGTAGGAGACCAGAGGCCTGGTGGAGGGGAAGGAAAATTGAAAAGGTCATCTGGAAGAGTGGGGTTTTGATTTAGACTCATTCTCCGTTAGTGGACGCACAGAAAAATGGGCATGGGACCTTGAATTCAGGCTCCATAACCAGGGACCCTGGGCAAGATCAGAATCTGATGAGACATCAGAGACGTGCTACCAAATGACTGACATTGAGACTCTAGGTCAACAAGGTGACTTGCAGGTAGGCTCAGGGACCGCTGGGCGCAGCTGGAGTGGGCAGGGTTGGAGGAGCCCCCACCTTCCCACTTAGTGGGCATGGACAGGGCTGTAGAGCAGTCTTGGGGGTCCATTACCAAGGCCTGAGGCAGGGAGGAGACCAACTGTCTGCCAGAGGAAGCCAAGGAGAAGGCCTTTGTTCACAGGCCCCGTGGAAAGGGGGCGCCTAGACACTGAATCATCGAAGGCACCGCGGCCGTTTCACACGGTGGATTCACGCCCAACAATCTCTGACGTGGCTTTAACTGAGGACAAAAGCAAACCTTTCACAGGAGTTTTCATTCCAGTCTGCGAGGAGGTGGCCCTGAGACGGATCCAACAGACCCGTGAGAAGGTCCAGTCTCTACAGCCCTTCTCCACACCCGAGGTTCCAGGAATTCCTTCCTGGGACCCCACGTTTGAGGCTTTCAGCTAAATGGACATGCAGACTCTCTGAGAGGCATCAGAGTTTAAGCTGTGCCCGGCTTCCCCCCTGGCTAGGGGGAAGGAAGGGAGGGCTGGAAAGAACAGGTGTGAGGTTACTGCGGGCGTGAGGGAAGGAGGGAGCCGTCTAGACCCAGAAGGGAACCAAGAAACCATGGCAGGAAGCAAAAGGGAGGCCTTCCACTAACGTACAGGCTTGCCACCTTGACTTAGACATGCGGAAATCCCCCTCGACAATTTGCCTGGCCCAGCATGAGGGTGCTCCTGCGGACAGGGGTGTGGGTGGGCCATGGGCAACTGCCGTGATGAGGACATTCCTAGCAGAAAAGAAGGGTTTACACTGGGTTACATGATCCAACACAAGGGGAAGATATGATGAGAAGGAACAGGGACAGGTAGCATGGGGACAGCCTCCCGCCTTCTCCTGCCCGGGCTCTTGAGACCTGTCAGCCAGGACCAGAGTGCTCATGCTCAGTTAGGCATCCAAGGGGGTCTCACCATCCCCTCAAAAAGAGGGGAGTGCTTTTCGGGAGCTTCCACCAATACCAGACTGCCTCATCAGACTTCCTAAAACCTGATTTCATCCTCTCTGCGCATGATCCCACTCTGCCCCGGAAGACCTCCGGATTCCTCCTTACAGCTGCCGGGGGGTCAAGGCCTGGGCTGGTGTCTGTTCGGCTGGTTTGGATTCAGCGTGGAACAGGGAGGTGGAGTATCTGAAGGAAGGAAGGAAGGATAACACAGAAAGCCTACGTTGGGCAAGCGCGGTTTCTGGTCCAGTTCTGAGCCAAGCAGTCCCTATCCTTTGGGGGTTCTTAGCTTCAGGTCTTTAAAAAACTTGCATTTCAGTCATCCCATTTACATCCTGGGAATGAGGGGAAAACTAAACATGAGGGCACAAAGAGAATGTCTTCTCCATCCGGTTAGAAAGAGGTCCAAACCTACCTTCAAATCTGGGCTCTTTCCCCAAAACTAAAGTGACCAAATTTGAACATTGGTAAGGCGGGTCAAAAGTGGGACACCATTGCTAAAGCTCATATCCTGGCGAAACAGCCACTTGGCAGCTGAAAACCATCTACCCTAGCTTGTCGTGCATTCTTTCCAAAAATCGGGACTTTTTAAAAATGCCACGGGATGTGGGAAAAATTGTTAAAAATTGGGACTGCCCCGCCAAAAGCAGGACGTCTGGTCACCTTACCCAAAACTGAGAAAATAGCGGCACTCCCAAATCACCTGGGGACTTGTTGAGGGCAAGCACAACGTGGTAACGGGAAGAAAACTCACCGCGGTGATGGACCACTCCAGTCTTCCCCTCTCGGAAGGCCTGGCAAAAACATAAGTCGTAACTCCCATCTCACCCAGTCAGCATCGGTGTGGGTGCCTATCTGGCCTAGACACCAGCCCGGAAGACGGCTCTGTGTTTCAGCAGCAGGGCCACCATTTCCCATCGGCAGATTCCATGCCCCCCAGAGGGACCTGCAGAAGCACAGGGAAGTGGAAGTGTGTTCTCATACACGTTTTCGACCAGGAAAGCTGGTGTGGAGCCCTGCTGTTTGGGAAAGCGAATGGGACAGTGGCTCATGAGTAGCCAGGGACAGTGTCCAGCCCTCGAATCCTGGGCCTGGGGGACAGACTCCAAGACAGGGGAAAGCACACTGAACTAAGGATCACCCTGGTGACCTACAGGAGACCCAGGGGCAGGTGGTAAAACCAGAAGGATGTGAGCTGCTCCATCTCCTCTCATCTCCCAAGGCCAACTGCTGCTAGGGAGGCTTTGGTCAAGGGCCAGGAGGCTATGGGGGCACCCTGGTTACCTGTGTCTGATACTAGCCCCTACCTGCTCCCTAGCCACACTCCACTGACATCATGCCAGAATGTCCCCGGTCCCCAAAACCGACTGCTCCCCAATCACCCCATTCCTGCACTGCTCACCTGGAATCTGTGTGCGCCAGGGGACGTCCTGCCAGCCCGAGGTCAGAAAGGAGTGGGTCTTGTCAGGTGGTAGGTGTTGGAGGTCCCACCATGTCATCCAGGACTTAAGAAGAACCAAGACGGAGTCTTGGGTTGTCCAGAGTTCCGGACTGCCCTTACCCCCACCCCGCTGATGCAGCCTTCCCATGGCAGAACCTACCTACCGGACTCAGGGAGCCTGCCCCTGACCAGACCACCTCAGCTGGTGGCCGGTGGCTCCCAGATCACCTCCACAGGGGCTGAGGCTGTGTGGGAAGCAGCTCCCGAGCTTGAATGGGCATGCCCTCCATGGGAAGTTGTACCCCTCGGAAGAGAATACCGAACGCGTTTCCGAACTGGAATTTGGTCGCTGGTCTTATTCTGTCACGTGCCTTCATGGACTGCTGTCCCTCTGGGTCTGGGTCTTCTAGAGATGCTTCCTAACCTGAGCTTTTGCCCCTTGTTGGCTGAGCCTCCCCATGTAGCCTGTGCCCTGACTCGCCAGCTGCCAGGAACCTCACAGGCTTCTGGCCTCCTGCCTTATTTTCCTTTGCTGTGTGGCCCGCTTCATCCGCAGCAGCCTCCGTGGCAATGTGGAGATTGTCTTCTCGTTTTCCGATGCCTGCCCTCCCTTGCTGCACCCCCCTCCACTTTGTGTCCTCTGTCCCCTCTTGTCCCCTCTCTCCCCCCTACCTACTGAACAGACCACACATAGACTCCACCACACTCAACCCAGTTCCTGGGGACATCTTACATCAGAGCATGTGAAACCCAGG